GTATAATGGTAGGAAACACTGGTATGCCTTTTATATGAAGCTTAGAGGCAGATAATTTGCCTCGAGGAGTTTTAGTAATGAATTAGTGACATTATACATTGTTGTACTGTGTGAAGGTTCCACCTGTGCTCACCTGGCTGTGAGGACCAACACACCATAAACCAGGTAAGGTCTCAGTTGTTCTCTAACGCACCACTGCAGAAATCAAACTAATTTTAGGATCTGTTTTGTTTTCAGCACAGAGGAACCAAACCGGGAGTTCAGGTCTGGTTCTGAGGAACAGGAAGTAAATAATCAGATAAAATATATTAATGATGAAAAGAACCGGGTTTGAACAGCCTGCTGGTACCAACCTGTGCACACTCCTCTACAAACAACACAGGTTTTATTAAGACACATCACACACCTTCCTCCTCCTCTTCCTCGTCATCCTCCTCTTCCTCAACATAATCTCCATCATCCTCTTCATCCTGACAGACAGAATCAGAACATCAGAAATGGGTCAGCAGCGGCCCGGTGGTACCAAACACACTCACGCTCACCTGGATGCCCTCCTTCATCAAGTACGACAGGCCCACCTCGTCCTCGTCTCCCTCAGAACCCTCCTCCTCCTCTTCATCCTCCTCTTCATCATCGTCTCCTGGGGGACCAGCCTCATCATCCTCTTCTGGAACAGAACCAAGCATCAACCCTCAGAACCACTTAACTGGGTCAGGTTTTATATGAACTGGACCCAGACGGTCCAAACCCAAACCAGGGTCCAGTCTGCTGGACCCTGCTGGACCCTGCTGGACCTAGGCCTGTCATGATAACAAATTTTGCTGGATGATTAATTGTCTGGGGACCATTTTAAAACTAATATAATGATAATAGTGTAATATATAGTAGTATAAGATAACAGTGTAATATATAGTAGTATAATAAGATAATAGTGTAATATATATTAGTATAAGATAATAGTGTAATATATAGTAGTATAATAAGATAATAGTGTAATATATAGTAG